TAAAAATTATAACGTACAGATAAATTCTAAGATAGTTTATGCAAGCAGACTAACTTATTAAAACATAAGAACGCTACGAAGAAATTTGACTAGCTAATGTAGTGCTATATTGTAGACTATTATTTACAAGTCCCTTTATTATCATAAGGGAGCTCTAACGTCTTACTAAAATGTGTTAGTATAAGACGTAAATAAAGCATTTTTTACTTTGTTTTCTTGTAGTAGAACCTCTGTTTTCACAATGATCTGCATTCGAAACAAAATTTTCATTCGCCAATTATCCATTGATCATGATAAAATCATTAAAACTTCTCTCGTTTCTTGGCCTTTTGACCTATTTCTTTTTTTTAATAATGTGAAGCTTGTGGCGTAATTTGTATCCAACTCATTTTTTCTAACGTGTATCCATCATTTAGTCTTCATTCTTCATTTAAATTATTAATCGCTGCTTTTTCTTCTCGATCAATGATTTTTCCTTACGCTGTTTACACTTATTTCAGTATGTGGCAAAGTTCAGAGCTAAAAAATCACCTGCTGTCGTACTGCAGCTCTACTGAGACAAATACCATTACCATAGACTTAAGGGTGATAGACAAAACGATCCATTACATTTCATGCGTGTCTCAAAGAGGGATGCATAGTATACACAATAGTGTAAAATGTCTTAAAATTAAACGACAGAATATCTGACTTAGCTCATAGATAGTTTAATCTTAGAATAAGTGCTCACTGTTTGTGTATGCATTATTATGAGTTCAGATAAAAAAAACAAAGATTTTAGAGATGTCCTGAGGATGTATTTCCAGTTAAAATCTAAAAAAATGTTTTGTTCATAAATATGTTTACTAATAAACAACCGACGCCAGAGCAGAGTTATTAAAAATAAGTATTTCTGCAAGTATGAGTCAGATATATATTAAAATACGTGTTATAAACGTATGAAACGCATAGTAACATATTTTTACTACATCAAGCTAAGACTACGTAATTAGAAGTAATAATTTTTTTGTATCTATTGACCTTATCTCTAGGTCCCATTTTAAGACTCATAATGAGACGTCTATTGTTAGTAACTTTAAGACTTGTTATGAGATTTCTCTTTAAAATAGATCTTAAACTAATTAAGACAACTAAATAAGTTTTCAAAGGGGAACAATATTTAGTGGTAACTAAATGTATGTTCATGTAAGTATTAACCCTTGCTGAAGTGGACGTTAGAAAGTTTGTATGTAATAAAAAACAAAAACTAAATGTCACATGTCACAAATAATTTGTACACGTGTTTATAAGCAATTGTACTTATTGACATATATATATAACTTTGCTGATTAATGTTTGCATTATGCTGTACAGTAAACAAGCGAATCAACGCTAAGAAGGAATCCTAAATTGCCAGAGATAAAAATAGATTTCTCAATTAAAAAAAAATTAGTGTAACTTCTGAGCTTTATCTAATACGTTTTACAAAAANTAATTTTTACTAAGTTTTGGTAGCAATTTCTGAATGTCAATAAGCTTTAGTAGAAATTTATATATGTCTAGAAAGAGAAAAAGAATAAAGCTCATCTTTGAACGCATGATAACCAAATCTTGTAAACACACATTTATACAGTTGAAGTTGCATTTATAAATTATTATCCAAGTCAGCTTTAGAAGAAATTGACTAATTTAATCCAGATAATACAGAAAATAATTTAACAATAACATTTTCGAAGTGAATAGCATATATAAGCAATTCTCGTTTTATTTTTTACTGTTTAGGATACCATAAAGTGCCAAATTTTAATTAAGAGCTGCACCTCTTTAAAAACTCTTTCATATTGCTAGTAACCTAAATATTAAAAAAATATTCAAGGACACTCGAAATATTCAGGTCATTGCTGAGTTTTTTCAGTGTAAGAAGTAAAATAATATTGATTTTTTTGAAACACCGCACATAGTTTTGTTACATGCCGAGTTGATACGAATTATATTATAACTAAAAACCATCCGTCCATTAAAATTCCGATAAGACGTATTGTAAATATTCAGCAAGCTTATATGATAAGAGGAGCTCGTATGTCGTTTATGTGTGCTTGTGTGTGTATTAGCTTTAAAGTAAATGCTTCATAATATGCTGACATAGAATACGGCCAGCTTCATTGTAAAAATTCTTGTTTGTATGAATGAATAGTTAGTTGCTTATTAATTGTTTGATTCTGATAATGTATACTAATTGAAAATTTGTAATTCAGACATTACTTCGTTATATTCAAAACTGATTGTAAAATCCTCAGCAAGATTAATTTCAAAATTGTAAGCTTACTGTCACAATTAAACTTGTATTTGGCTTTCTTATATTGCTGATAGGAGCTTTCATCGTTATTGACCTAAAAACTCAATCGCAGTTGTCAGAAAATGCGATTGGTACTGTTGTATCATTATTTTCTAATACGTAAGATCATAACATGTCACATCGTCATGCAACTGTCAACGCAATCTGCAATAACATCGCTCATTGGTTGATCTTATTCAACCAAAGACCTCTTTTACTTGCTCTGATGCTATAAAAACGCACCATCAAGAGCCAAAAGTGTTCTCTTTACGTCTGTCACCTGTCCTCTGAAGTTTTAGTTAACTCTTGACTCTCGCGACTTGTGAGTACCTTATACACGTAAGGCATAACGTGTAAGCCAAGGTAACTCAAGTGCATATCGAGAACATCCAAAGGATCAGACTACGCTAAGGAGCGAGGTACAGCAGAGAAGGCCCGCCGAAGGTGATTCCGGTGATAGCAGAGGAAGCAGAAATCGCAACATCCTGCTGGCCACAAATTTGTTCGTGTAGTTTAAAGAAAAACTGACGGTTACAGCACAAAGCATTAAGAAGCTCCGAAGCAGCAGTAAAAATAATCAGTGATATATGTAAGTCAAATATCAGTAATAAAATTTACGTTGAACCTTGGTATGGTGACCCAATTAAATTGTATTTAAAAGAACGAATTATTTTTAAATTGCTTAAATAAAGAAAGACATGCATTACTTATATTATTTAATCAAAGATCATTATTTAATAAAAAAAAAAAAAATATGTAAAAGAACAAATAAAGCTGACANAGTTGACCCTGCAAATAGTCATAAGACTGCTTTTAGCACACCTGACGGTCATTATAAATGCATAGGACTGCCATTTGGACTATGCAATGCACCTGCAACATTTTAACGACTAATAGACGTAATTTAATCAGGACTGCAAGGCATTAAGCAATTTATATTTCTTGAAGACATAATTGTATGTTCAACAAATAAATAAATAAAAATGCCCGGAAATAGTGGAGAAGACCCATCAATGTATGACTCTCTTATACAAAAGTTTTTAAATATTTTACAAGGATTAAGTACGACTAATTCGATAATGTGCATAAATCAAGCATCTCAACACAAACCTTTTTATGACGGATACTCGACTCCCTTGAATGACTTTTCACAAGATGTATAAAATGGACGAACTTTAATAACAGCCACTCAAGAACCTATGTACCTTCGCACAGTTGTTTCTAGACTCAAAGGCAAAGCTTAAGAGAGTTTACTAGGTTTTACTTTTGCATCAATCGATCAGTTCAAAAAACATCTGAAACAAGAATTTTCACCAAACAAATCATATCATGAATACATGGCAGAACTTCTAAATACTTCAATGAAACAAAACGAAGCAGTTTTAAATTTTTATCATAGAATAATTTCTCTTACAGAGACTACCTTAACAGCCCTTTTGACCGAATTAAATGACGAGAAACTCAAGACAACACAAAATCCACAACTTGAAAAATTAGCGTTACAAACGTCTATTAATGGCTTAACTGATTCGTAGAAATTAAGTACAGCACTTTTGAAACCCAAAGATATTTATGAAGCTTTAGAAGCTGCTTTACTTATTCAACGCACTTGCTCTCTAGTATACAATCAGGCCAAGTACGTTTACAAGGCCGTACCCACGACCTCTACTTCTACGATTCCGAATCTTCGGTACCGAACGTTACCGAAATTTCTGTTCCTATCTCTACTCAGTTTGACCACCAAAAAAAATTCGTCAGTTTTAATGACCCATTGACACACAATAGAAATTCTATCCCGTATACCTACGATAAAAATAATGTCAAGATGACTCAATAAAAATTCGACGAGTATGGTCAAAAAATTGTACATCCCGCACTTAGCTATGCACCTCAACAACGATGAAGTATCCCGCCACCAAGCCATACGACACCACCACCCTGGAATAATCAACCTAATAACTATTATTATTCTCCAGATTTCTCAGAATTTCCATATTTTCAACCACCACCCTTTTATCCACCTTACTACCCACAAATGTATTATCCCTATCCTCATACTCAAAGCTATGCTTACCATAAACAAGCTCCATTTTAATACTACAACCAAAAATCATACCAAAATTATAATCAAGAACGATACCGTGACTCTTGCCCTAACTCTTCAAAAAACGAAAACGAGACTTGCCAGCTGGACGTGACTGCGAGTTTGAATCCAATGACGCGTCCGAAATCAATAATGGCAATGAAATCTGCAGAGCCTTCCAAGCAAGAACAATAGGAAATTTACCAGCAGTTAAATTGCGTTGCGAAACATTTCGAAAAGATTCAGAAATTTTTATATTAGATTCAGATGCCTAAGTAAATGTCATCAGTTATAACGCATTAAAGAACTGCACAGAAGTTGATCATGATAATACAATTGAATTAAAAGGAGTATCCCCACAGCAAATGCACACTATAGGTACCATAACGGTAAATTCGTTTGATACAGATCACGAATTTCACGTTATGAGTTTAGAATTGCCAATAAATAATGTATGTATTTTATAAGATCCATTTTTTACGCCGGAAAACGCTAGAATCAATTACGGAATAAATGCATTAATAGTTGAAAGCAGACCAATTGAACTAACACCTTTTCTATACCGAGATAAAAAAATTAAATCTCTATGCGTATCTTTGTCAGATAATTACCGTACCCGGAGTATATATAGGCAAGGCGGTAGTAGATTGCGAAGAAGGTCACTGTTATACAATAGCAGAAAGATTAAAGGCGAGACGAAGAAAAGAAACACCAAGAGCTCAAATACAAGACTCGTCATCCGAACCCGATACCGCGTCTACTTCACAGTTTAGCGACCCACAATCCAACGCACCAATACCATTTGAAGAACGATCATTTATGCCAAGCTTAATAAATGCACTTGAAGAAGAGACCCCTCTGAATATAATGGTAAACTCAAGTGACAAAAGTTCGGAAATCAGTGAAATTGAGGAAATAATAAAAAAAAATTTAAGTTTTTCACCAAGACGAATTAATATTCCAATTAAACCCAGTACATTCCGAGCCACTGATGTAAATCAAAAATCTTGAAAAATTTCAACAAGATGAAGACTCTACTTCTTCTTATAAAGAAACTTCAAGTTTAGCTACAATAAAACCAAAATTTCAATTTACTTTTTAACTCTCCGTACAAGACCAAGTAAGCAAGACAAATCAAAATAAAGAGCAGTTATCGGATTTAAGAAATAACACTTACATTAATAAAGATTGCGACAAAGGATAATTTATTGAAGAATTAAATCAAAACTCAAGATGGTTGGATGGTTACGATAAGAAAAATGAAATACCAAGTAACACCATTCTTGGAGAAATACAATCTTTACCTACATTCCCTACCGAACGTCATGACGGCAGTAACTTAAATCAAAAACAAATACATTCACTTCCATCGTCACCTTAAAATTCAATTGCTCCTACTATAGTGAATGAATGAATCAATGAAACAATGAACAAGTTTATTGCAAACAGAAATTCCATAAGAGCAAAATCTCCAATTAAATCACACAGAAATAGTCCTACCAGAAATGAATATCAAAACTCTAATGATGAACTATACAGAAGAATTTTATCACCTTTAGAACAAAACAGTAATTAAGAAAAAGACAAAAACCCCTCTGAATCGGGAAACATAGAAAATAAAATTGATTACGATAGCAAGAAAACTTCCAATGAAAATATTTGACTACAAACAAGCCATATATGAAGCCAGAGAGAGACGAGAAGATAAACTGCAGGAATTTACTCATTAACTTCTGGATTTAAAAAAGGTCCCTTCAAAGTCAAGCTCACAGCTTACACCAGAGAAACAGGATTGTGAGGAACACTTCGTGCGAACTCACTCTCGGGATAGCACCGGAAGATACGTGGTGAAACTTCCTCTAAAGCAATCTCCATCTCTGCTGGGCAACTCAGTCAACCGTGCTCGTAAATGCTTCGATCGCACGGTGGCCAGGCTCAAAACAGACGACAAGTACGACAAGCTCTATACAGATTTCATGAATAAATATTTAAGCTTTGGCCATATGCGACTGGTGCCTGCAGATGAGCTTAACATCAAGCCTCATTTTTATCTGCCTCATCACGGCGTATTGAAGGAAGATGGAGATAACGCCAAACTCAGGGTGGTTTTCAATGGATCAGCCCTTACTTCCTCTGGACATTCACTTAACAGCATAACTCACACGGGACCTAATCTACTGCCCAACATAACAGATATACTTTTCTGGTTACGCACATTTAAATTGACTTTCTCTGAGGATATCTCCAAGATGTATCATCAGATCAAGGTTCATCCAGAGGATTGGGATCTTCAACGAATCATCTGGCATAGCAAAACTCACGAGAAAGCTCACTTTTAGCTCACCACAGTGACCTACGGAACGAGGCCTGCTTCATTCCTGGTCACACGATCACTGCTGCAGCTGGTGAAGGATGGCAGACACCGTTACCCCCAGGTGGCCTGGATTCTCACCAGCGGCAGATATGTGGACGACATTTTTAATGGAGCGGAGACTCCAGATGAGTTGAACGAGCAGGCCCTCCAGCTCAATGAGCTGTGCATGGCAGGCGGATTGCCCCTGGCTAAGTGGCACTTAAACTTGCCAGGATTCAGTTACTCAAACTCCAGTGAAGAATCAGCACTCTCTCTCGATGACTGTAATGCTAAAGTACTCGGAGTGGTTTGGAAACCAATGTCAGACAATCTCACCTTTCAGTGCACACTCAAGCCTCTCAGTCAAACTCCAACGACGAGAACAATTCTTTCAGAAATATCTAAAATCTTCGATCCTCTTGGAATAGTTGCTTCAGTGATTGTTGCTGCCAAACTCATCATTCAGGAATAAAGGCTACTTAAAATTACATGGGATACACCCATACCAGATGCTCTCGCTCAGAGGTGGCTACAAATACGAGGTGATCTAGCCAAACTCTTCGGAGTGACGGTTCCTAGATGGCTTGGAGCACATCCTTTTGCTGCAGTGGAACTCCATGGCTTTGCTGATGCGTCTCAGGATGCTATGGGTGCTGTGATTTACCTGGTGATAAAGTCAGACTCAGCCACATCAAGCTCATTCGTCTGCTCCAAGACAAAAGTATCACCACTAAAGAGGATGTCAATACCAAGGTTAGAGTTCACAGCAGCTCTCGTCCAGGCTAAACTCACTAAGTATGTCACCAGACAACTCACACTCAATATCAGCAACATTCACTTATGGACAGATTCGTCAGTCATACTCTATTGGATTTCTTTTCATCCAAATAAGTGGAAGGATTTCGTCAGGAATCGAGTTGCAGCAATTCAGGATCTGGTCCCTGCAGCACATTGGAAACATGTCCCTGGAAAGAAGAATGCTTTTGACTGTGCTTCTAGAGGGATTCTCACTTCACAATTAATTGAGCATAGGCTCTGGTGGCATGGACCATCTGGTGGGATGATACAACCTCAGGATGGTTGGCCTCTGCAACCGAGTAACGTTGAGGTGGAGAATAAAACAGAGGCGCGTCAGGTATCAGCATTGGTGTCATCAGTCTCGGACTTGGAGTTCCTACTCAGGCTCATTCAGTCTAGCTCCACATTGCACAAACTCTATCGTATCACAGCCATCCTCTTACTTGCTTGTGCCAAGTTCAAAGCCTTACTCACACACTAGGAATCATCCGTAGCTGTCACTGCCGAACTCATCACTCAAGCTAAGCTCTTACTTATCAGATTAACTCAACAGGAATGTTTCAAGGAGGAAATCAAGATGATCAAATCAGGTTATCTCCCAAAGGGCAATGTTTTCCACCAGTTGATGGCATATACTGATAATGCTGGCATACTGCGTGAAGGAGGCAGACTCATGAATGCCAAGCTCAGACCTGATGCAAAACATGCTGCCCCACTTCCTCGTCAAGCTCACTTTACCAGTTTGGTTATCGATGAGGCTCATTGGCAAACTCTGCACGGAGGAACTCAGCTCACTCTTTGCAAAACTCGTCAAGAGTTTTGGATAATCGGTGGAAGGGCCCACATCCGATCCAGAATCCTCAACTGTGTCGAATGTGCCAGGTACCGGGCACAAAGAGCACAACAACTCATGGGACAGTTACCCTAGGCCATGGTGACTCCCTGCAGACCGTTTGCTCACACAGGTATCGACTACGCAGGTCCAATACATCACAAATCTTGGCGCGGCAGAGGGTTGAAGACATACAAGGGTTGGATATGAGTAATCGTGTGTTTTTCGACCTCTGCTGTACATCTCCAAGCCGTGACAGATTACTCTACCAAAGGATTCTTGTCAGCGTATTGGCGATTTGTCTCACGTCGGGGACGTCCATTTAAGTTGTATTCTGATTGTGGGACGAACTTCGTTGGTGCAGACAGGGCTCTTTAACAGTTCTTCTCAGAAGCAATCAGTCAAAATTCTCATCTATCAGCCATGCTCGCCCAAGATGGAACGTCATGGCACTTCAACCCTCCAGCTGCTCCTCACATGGGAGGAAAATGGGAGGCAGTAGTGAAGTCGATGAAACACCATCTCCATCGGACTATGGGAGAAACTCTTTACACGCTTGAAGAGATCACGACGTTGCTCACTCGAATAGAAGCAATACTTCACTCTAGACCACTAGAACCACTTACCAATGATCCAGAGGATTTAGACATGCTCACTCCAGGACACTTCTTAGTCGGATCGGCGCTAAACTAACCACAAGAACCGTGCTTGTTGGATTAACCTCCAGCAAGGCTCACTCGCTGGCAGCTGATCCAAGCTCAAAAACAAAGGTTTTGGAAGCAGTGGTCTACACAGTACTTGCGTAGATTAAACTCAATCTCCAATTGGCATACTCCAGCTCATGACATCAAGACAGGCTCATTGGTGCTTATAACTAGTGAGACTATACCACCACAAAAGTGGCCACTTGCCAGAGTCGTCTACGTCCACCCAGGCAAGGATGGCCTGGTTAAAGTAGTGACTCTCAAGACCTCAGTGGGCGCGCTCAGGAGACCAATTCACAAGTTGGTGCCACTGCTGGTCTACGGCTGTTGTCAGCCTTTGACTGACGGCGGGCGAAATGTTGGAAATGAGAGCGACCAACAGTAGGCCTGGCTTTTGTGTACATTGTGTACACTTGTAGTCTTTGTCGGCTCAACGCTCTGTGCGTGTGCGTTTGGTCGACTTGGCACGCTGCAGGTGTGTGTGTGCGTATTTACGTGGCGAGCTTTGTATACTGTAAGTGCCAGATTATACTCAGCTCTCGTCGAAGATAGACTCTCTTAATTTACGTTGCCAAACTCTAGCATTCAAAGGTGCATACATCACCTTAAATGCCAGTGTAAATCTTCTGATTAACTCTCTCAATACAGTGGACAAAACTCAGTTGTGCAGTGCAGTGCACTTAGTGCTTTGTTCAAGTTGCTCACTGCATAATCTGCTGACCAGCTCAAATAGTTAATCTCATCGAACTACCAGTGATTATCAACAGCAAGACTCAGTGAAACTCTCGTGTCATTTCACAGACAGTAATTGTGCATTTCTACAGACAGTGGTTTTTAGTTAATTAATATTTTAATCAGTTATACTATATCAGTGCTTTCATTTTCACATTCATTTCGTGTAACTTTTAAACTCTCTTGCGAGCTCAAGGCCAGTGCGTGTTTACATATTGTGTTATTCACCTTGACTCTTTTCTTTTTACATTCTTCGCTTTTATATATTTCAATAGTTTATTGTTTTAAGACTATAGACATCATTTCTTTTCTCCTGTATTATATAGACCTTTACTATTTTTGTGAATATTAACTGTGATTTTTCTTGGCCTTTAAGTGATATTAAAAGTTGTTATTTTATGCTGCTTAATTTTGTTGTGTTTTATTGTGTCTTCCCAACCACCCTATCTGAGCCTAGTGTGTGCTAACGCATACGCCTTGAACAGTAAAGTATGGAAATAGGATCTTTAGACAATATTTTAAGTGGTTGGTTAAGCATTTAATATTGTTCATAAAATTCAAACTTGTTAGATTAATTGTTTCATACAAATCATGGGACAAAATTAAAGTTCTTTGAAAATTTTTACCGAATTTGATGATACAAATAATTATGTTAAAAAGTTAAAATGTAACAAAAGTTTGAAATTCAAAATTATAAAAGTGTTCTAAATAGTATAAAATTGCACTAGCTAAATTGAAATAATCTTTAATAATAAATTAGGATGAAAATAATGTACTTATAATCATATTATATTTAAATAAAATAATATTACAAATATCAAATGCAAATTTTTTACATCTGAACATTCTTTATTGATTGATGAAGCTTAGCTATATTTTTAGTAGAAGCTCAGTTTTTTGCCATAATTGTATAAAAAAAATTGTATAAATTCTAGAAGGCTTTCATGCAAAAAAGATATTTAATTCTTCATCAGCTAACCAAAATTCACTTCTAAGATTCTTTTTCAACTGAACTATTAAAAAATAATGGAAAGTATTGAAGAAATGCCGAAAACATAAAAAAAATAGAAAAATTAAAGTTTTTTAATATTATTTTGCAAATGTATGGTAACAAACGGAATATTCGCAAAATGTTAACTTTACCATTAAAAAGCGTGACCTGACAAATTATTCAAAAGATACTGTGACTATTTTTTGAACGGACACTATAACGTTCATTAGTCTGAAAGATAAAAATATGTTTATTGTTTTAACGACAATAAATGTTTTACCATTAACGCAAAAAAAAGTGCCAGACTCGACAGCATGTTTTTTGAAATTTTCATTTCCACTCGGGTAACCAACAATAAATAAAAACATAACTAAAGAAGTGAAGCATAAAGATAAAGATTAGCTTTTTTAGGTACCCTGCAAAGTAAAAAAGAAAAGAATAATTTCTCATATATATACTAACAATTAAATGTATGCACGGAAATTTTTGTATATAATAATATATATAAATAGACATGCACATCTAAATGCTTGTTCATTTATAATAAGTCAAAAATATATGTTAAAATAAAGTAAATTTATAAGATATATGTATATATTAGTCAACTTCTACCAAAGCTTACTCCAATAAAATATGTATATATTATTAGATATAAGTATATCTTCCTATATTATATCGTTGTATTAACGAAAGTGAGTCTCAGCCCCCACCCCCCTGCCACCCCTTAGCTCCCCCTCAACTCCCCCTCGATTTAGGTAGTTATTTGCTTGTTTTAACGGCATTTTCATTCAAATTGCATTTGAGTGAGCTCCCCCCCGCTCCCATCTGCTCCTACTCAGCTATTCCTGAGCTCCTCCTTGCTCCCCCTTCTACTCCCTCCGCATGAAATACTTATTTATCCGATGTTTTACCATCATAGATTTTAAAAAATAGACGCAATTTAGAACCTTAGTCGTATCTCGATTTTAGGGTTTTTTTTTAAGTCACTGATCATAGGTATCCCTATGTCTATTCGCTTCTCCTTACTCACTATGTGTCTCTGAAGTACTATTATTTGTTTAACTTTATTGAACTTTAACATTTTAAATCTCTTTCTGGTACATGTCTACTTTACCCAAAAATAAAATTCTTGATTACTTAAGGACTTTGTTAAGTAAAAGACAGAAGTCAGGAGGAGGTATGATTAAATAGACAAACACAATTAAGCTTTTAAAATAATTATTTATTCTGTTCGCTTAATGTTGGACATTTTTTGTGTCACTGTAACCCATCTATTCTTTTCAAACCCTTTCCACATTTTTCACACATTTGTTTTTCATGGTTTTTATGAATTAACATACGTCTGTTTTAATGTGACTATCTTTTAAGTTACATATTTTTTAATTACTGAAAAATTTCTAGCTAAACAGTATTTTTAACTTCTGATTTATTCTTGGATGCAATTTGAAGAAAAATTCTTTTTGGATTCTCACATCTGAATAAAGCAACGTATAATTATCGGTAAGAAAATAACCGCTTTTGATTATATATAAANAGGCTGGTGGTGCTGAGCCCCGATCTGCGAGAGAGGCGTACTGCCGAGGACATCGGGTGGACTGCTGCAGGTCCTCTGCTCGTCGTCGAGCTGCTCCTGCAGTGGACCTCCGTAATCCGAGTTGGATCTCTGAGTCGTTCCACCACCGGCGCCACCACCCGACGACGAGGATCTGGCCGAGGGTGGCCGGTACAGTTGTTGATTCGCCGGCTGGGACTGCAGGTCCTCCAAACCACTTCGCGAGCCGTTTTCCGAGAGGACATCGGCACCCCGGCTATTGCTGCTGCTATTGCTGTTCTGATGATGATGGTGGTGGTGGTGGAGGTTGAGGTGGTGGTCGTTGCCACTGCTCACTCGGAGTCCGTTAGCTCCCGGCTCAACATCATTGCCTGTAGATGACAGCACCTGGCAAATATATGTTGCAGCTAGCTGTCAGAGAGCAGGGGGTCGGGAGAGATGTGATGATGACGGTACTAACTTTTTCCATTCACAGCCTTTCTTTTCTTTGTTTTTTTTTTTTTCGTGAAGGGAGGAAAAATGCATTTAGGCACACCGCAGGGACAGCGGTAGTGTGGGACTCGGTGGATCTTTTTCATTAGACCACCCATACCCACTAACTCCCCCCCCCGCCACGTGGCTTTTGATCCACCCCGGAACCGCGTTAGCATTACTTCAGGGTGGAGCCACCAAGGAGACCATCGCGTCTCACAGCATTAACGAGCTAGCTCACCACCATTTGCTAGAGGTGCTGATGCTCTCGAGTCCTTAAAGGGACTTGGGGTCCCTGAGGACCAGCACCTTGTCTAGCGCTTCATTGTAGGCCGCCTACTTAGCCAGTACTACTAAAAGCTCAATGCTTTTCCTTGCTGATAAGTAAGAAGTACCCAGCGCAGCGTGGGTCCACATAAGCCTGTCTTTTAACTCAAGGCCTTTTTGCCTTATTCTGATCTTGCTTAGGCCTTATCCCTGGCCTCTTTCAGGGCTCTTCTGAATAAAAGGCAGCTTCCGCTGCCTGCTTCGTGCTTGTTGTCCGTTGTTGGGCAAAGAAAGCACCATGTTGGGCCTAGACACTCTTTCTTCTGGTGGTTTGAGCTTCCACACCAGAAGCATAGCTTGGATCTGTTTTCGTTCTCACAGTTGCCCGAGACGTGTCCATATCCCAGGCATTTGTATCATCTTGTTACTTCGATTCTTCTTCGAATTCGGCAGCTTACAAAGCCAACTTGTAACCTGCCTTTTTATTCTACTTGTCTGGCAGATGCTTCGTCCACCTTTATTAAAGCCAGCCTCTGTCCTCTGGCATTTGGTTTTAAGAGAGCAACTTCTGGCTCCTGGCTCTGATGTCCAGAAGTCCTAGCAAAAGCCTCTTTGACCCCATCTTTCTCTACAATGGCATCCAGGTCCCGGACCTCTAATGTCACTTTTCTGTCGCTCATTTTGACAGTACTCTGTCCGGCTATCGACTTTTTAATTTACTGTGAGAATGCAGTAGCATTCTCTATACCTTTGGTTTTAATAAGTACGTCTCCTTTTTTTGTAGTGACAACACTTTTGACTGCCACTTAAGCCTTATCGGGGTCAAAGTTCTTCTTCAAAGTCTTCAGCACCGTTGCAAAGGTCTGTCCTTTAGCCATCTCCACCACAACTGTTGTTGTGGCGTCCACTCTTTTCTTCCGGCTTGCTTTGTCATTCAGTGAAATTCCTTTTTGTTTGCCACTGCCTGTTATCTTCTTTTTTAAAGACATTTTCTGCTGGCGTTTTTCAGGGCTGTCCAATGGGCTTCTGTTTCTCTTACTTCGTTCTATTTTCTTTAAGGCAGTGTTCAGGGTTCGTTTCTGTAGATGCCGTCGGAAATTGTCTGGCCTTTTTTACCTTCACTGCAGGGATTCAAATGATGACTTTCAAGCTTTGGCATACAAATCTTTTTTAGAAAGACAGCCTTTTCTTAGCACCTCTGCCTCTTGAAGATGCTTACGTGCCGCTTTGAGCCCATTTTTAACAGTGTTTGCTGTGTTGCCGTACTTATCATTAATCAGTTGTAGCATCTCTGTAATGTTATTCGTTGCCTAATGTCATTCGAGTCAAGCACGGTCTGGTGCTAGTAGGTATGCCTGACCGGCTTGGTAGG